ACATGTCGTTTCTTACTATAACCATATGCAGTATGCAACTATTCCCTTTTTATTGACAAGGAGACTAGGGAAGTTAAGTCTGTACTCACATACACACATTTACATGACTTTAAAGTGATAAAATTGAGAGTTTCATTCTGAACAATTGGATCCAATGTAGTACTTCGAGCTGAAAATACTCCTTAGTCAACACACGTTACTCATCCTTGTGAATTCCCAGTGTGAACACTCAGAAGAAAAAAATTCACAGGCAACAAATGAAGACAGAGTTTCTGTCCTGCCTGGTCCTGCAGCCGTTTAGTCCCAAATAAACACACAGAGGCTTATTTAATTATAAACTGTTTGGCCAATGGCTCGGTCTTCTTACTGGCTAAATCTTTCTTAATTATTAATCCATTTCTATTAATCTATGTATTTCCATGTGGTCTTGGCTTACTGGAGAATGCCCAGGCATTCTATCTTCCCACTGGCTACATGGTGTCTCTCTGGCGACTCACTCTCTACATCCCTCTTCCCAACATTCTCCTAGCCTGGTAGCCCCACCTATACTTCCTCCCTGGCTACATCCTGCCTGCCCATTGGCTGAAGCAGCCTTATTCATTAACCAATAAGAGAAACATATTCACAGCATACAGAAGGACATCCATCATCAAACAAACAAATGCACACTTGGTTGCTGTCTTAAGCTACATCACAAGGTAATTCCTTATATGAAGAGTTCCTGGATGAGTTAGCTAGTCAGATTTCTATGACTATAACAAGAGCAAGTCAAAACAAAACAACAACAAAAACTTAATAAAGAAGGTTTTTTTAGGCTCTTGTTTTCAGACCATGTCATTTTCCCATGTTACTTTGGATCTGTGACAACACGGTCCATCATGTGAGGAGCATATAGCAGAGAAGCATTCTGTTCACCTTGCAGAATGAAGAAATAAACAGCAGGAGGCTGTGGCTTCCAATACCTTCTCCATGGACCTCTTCCCAGATGTTCCACCTTCTCAAAATAGCACCATGGGCTAGAGAGCAATCTTTCAACACAATGGTCCTCAAGGACCAGTCAAAATCCAAGCCAAACACACATGCTGCTAGCCAATTCTCTGTGTAATGCATCTACTTCCATTTTTTATTTACTGTACTTTTAATTTTGAAATTTTATAGATTACATATACACATACATTTACTTGATAGCATGCAATATATCCCCTTAAAAGGAGCAATACATGTTGTAAATTTGAATTGATTTCTTAACGTATACAAATATTTATACATTTTCATGAAGTAATATACCCAAAGCGCTTGATGCACATATACGTATACAGTAATGTTTACATAAGGGTAGAGATATGCATGTCTTTAAATATTGAATATTTCTATGTGATAAAAAATTGAAATCCTTTCTTCTAGCTTTTTGAAACACACAATACTCTGCCATCATTTATAGTTGTGTTACTATGTTATGAAAGAACAGAAGCTGTCTGCTGTTTCAGCTTCATGTTCCTCCATCTACTTTTCCTATCTTTGCATTTGCTTACTCTTCCTAGCATCTAACACTACAACCCAATCTAAGCTTCCATGAGATTATATTTGGAATATACTCTTCATACAAGTAAGATCACGCAGTACTTGTCTTTTAGTGGCTGGCTTATTTCACTTAACATCATCATCACAGTTCAATCCATGATGTCACAAATGAAAATCTTTCCTTCTTTTTATAACCCAGTAACATTCCATTACATATAAATACATCACTTTTTTTATTCACTCACCAGCTGAAGGATATTTTGGTTGTTTTCAATTCTTGGCTGTTGTGAGTGGTACTATAATAAACATCAAAGTGCAGATATCTCTTTAACATACTGGTTTTATTTCCTTTGGATAAATTCCCAGGAGTGGGATTGCTGGCTCATATGGCAGTTTGAGTTTTAATTTTTGAAGACTCTCTATTATGGTTTTCTGTAATGACTACACACAGTTTACATCCTCCCCAACAGGATGCAGGAATTCTCTTTCCTTTGCAGCCAGCCCTTGCCATCTTTTGTCTTTTTTTATAATAGCTATTCAGTCTTCCAAAGATGATACCATCCCAATTGCAGCTCTGCTTTGCGTTTCCCTGATGACTTGTGATGCTGAATATGCCTTTCAGCTGTCTAGTGGTCTTCTGTGTGTCTTCAGAGAAGAATCTGTTTAGGTCCATTACCCACTGCTTAAAATTATATTAATACTTTTGTTATTGGATTTATGGAGTCTCTAAGTATTCTGAATATTAAGTTTTGTCTGATGTATATTTGAAAGTTTCTCCACTTATATAGATGCTTTTAGCTTGCTGTAATTTCTTGTGTATTTATCTTTGGTTTTATTTCTTGTTTTGAGGGTCTTATCTAAAAATATAAATCCATGTACAGTCCAGTGTCCTGAAGCATCCCTGTGTTCCTCATGCTTGTAGTTTCATAGTGTCAGGTCTCTGGTGTTTAAGACAGATCCAGGTCCACCCTTTTGCACCATTCATTGAAGGCTATGCACTTCTCTAACTCATGTCTGTAGCAACTTTGATTGAAAACAGTTGCTTACAGGTGCATGTAATAGCTTTTTCTCCTATCCAAAGATCCATACATCTGTTTCTATGCCAGCATCATGCTATACTTGCTAGACTTTCTAGTTCTGTGAAGGATTGATAGGTATTGCACTGTAAATTACTTAGAATAATATGGATACATTACTTTGTATAATATGTATCTGTACATTACTTTGAATAATATAGATAACTAGACAGTACTGTAACTTCTTTTTTATAGTTTTATATCTTCTTTGTTTCTTTTCTTTTCTTTTTTTGTTTTTGAGACACGGTTTCTCTGCATAGCTTTGTAAACCAAGCTGGCCTCAAACTCACAGAGATCCATCCGCCTGCATCTGCTTTCTGAGTTCTGGGTTTAAAAGCATGTACCACCACAACTCAGCTTAAGTACCTCTTTTGATAAAATCATACCACCTACACACAGTGCCAATTTGACTTTCCCTTTGTCAATTAGTATGACATTCATTTCTTACTCTTGCCTGGTTGCTCTGGATAGAACTTCCAGTGTTATGATGAATGAAAGTATTGAAAGTAGTGAAATCTTCTTCTAGACCTTAGGATATTCTGAGCTCTTCCCTGCTAAGAATGTTAGATGTGGGATATATGTTTCTTTAAGTAAACTTGTCACCAGTCTTCAGGCAAGTGTAAGCTAGGAATGAGTGCCTGGCCACTGGATGTTCTGGGATTCCAGTTGAAGCAAGGAAAAAGAGAAGGTACATGGGCCAAAATAAAAAAAATGATGAAAAGATTATGGTTTTATGCATTTTGTTAAATAAAATAATGACTAGGTAAGCTGGTATGAGAGATCCAAGATCATTAAAACACAAATCAAACCAATAAACACATTTTAATAAAGTCTGGAAAAATAGTACATGGACAGCTACATGCAGGAAGATATTCACAACAGCAAAGACTTGGAAACATTAGATATGTCCAAAATTAGAAAAGTGAATGCATAAATGATGACATTTACACACTACAAAATGTTCATATTATATTGGTTGGGTATCCTTAATACAAAGACCTAGAATGTAACACAATGCTTAAATATTTTCACAATTTGAAAAATTTTAAATTATGGATCTCAGATTTTCAGGTTTGGAATGCTCAATTAGCAAAAATCTATATAGATATTCCACAATTTAAAAAATCTTCAAAATTACAAAAACTACTGGTCCCAAATATTGGCAATCAAGAGCATTTAACTTTAAACAAAATGTCAAGTGAATAAATTATAACAATGTCTTTACAAGTTAGATGAAATATGTATCCAAGTAAACAAACCTGAAAAGTAATGCATAGAAACTTTCAAAGTTGCTTTGACATGTCCATATTTATTTATACATTTCTTGAGAATTTCATGAAACACTGTACTAACATTTTCCCCTCCCTCTTCACTTTCCAATAGCTGCTATATTCCTTGCCCCATTCCCTTTCAAATTTGTGGCTTCTTTTTATTTAATTATTGCTGATTTATATATATTTATGATATATATATATATATATACATATATATGTATAATTGTAGTATTATGTGTAAGTATGACCTGCTGATTCTATTTACTCTTACTTGTACATATATTTTTAGAGCCGACTACTTGGTACTGAAAAACCAGTTAGGGAGCTCATCCCTGGGGAAGACTAGTTCTCCATCTCAATAATCTTTAATTTCCTATGGGTGGAGCCTTATGAGATTTCCCATATCAACACTAGCATGTCAATTAGTGTCGTCATCATTTAGGTCTTGTTCAGTTAGCTAGATTGTTGAGATTTCATAGTGAATAAAATTTTCAATATCAAAAAGTCAACAAAGTTTGGTTAGCGTAGCATACACCTCTAGAGTCTGAGGCAGGAAGCTCAGAGCTTGAGGCCAGCCTTGGCTATGATAGTGAGACCCTATCTCCACAGGCAAATAAACCAGCAATCAATATGCAAAAAAAAAAACAAAAACAAAAACATAGCCGGGCATTGGTGGCGCAAGCCTTTAATCCCAGCACTCGGGAGGCAGAGGCAGGCAGATCTTTGTGAGTTCGAGTCCAGCCTGGTCTCCAGAGAGAGTGCCATGATAGGCTCCAAAGCTACACAGAGAAACCCTGTCTCGAAACAAAAACAACAAAAAACAACAAACAAAAAACAAGGCAAAACAAAAAAAAATCATGTATATAAAAAAACCCACTGTTACCTCACTGGATAGCAAATGAATAATTTTCCTTTAACATTAAGCAGGAAAACTCACCTTTTCTTTTTCCTTTTTTTAAAATTTAAATTGTAAACAAGCTTGTTTTAAATGCCATTCCCAGTCCCCTCTCCCTCCCCTCCTCCCCTACCCCCCATCAACCCACTATCCCATCCCCTTTTCTGCTCCACAGGGAGGGTGAGGCCTTCCATTGGGGAATCTTCAAAGTCTGTCATATCATTTGGAGCAGGGCATAGGCCCTCCCCCCTGTGTCTAGGCTGAGAGAGCTCTATGTGGAGTGGGCTCCCAAAGTCCATTCGTGTACTAGGGATAAATACTGATCCACTACCGGAGGCCTCATAGATTGCCCAGGCCTACTCACTGACACCAATGTTCAGGGGGTCTCGGTCAGTCCTATGCTGGTTTCCCAGCTATCAGTCTGGGGTCCATGAGCTCCCCTTTGTTCAGGTCAGCTGGAAAACTCACTTTTTCTACTTCCATTCAGCATACTGTTGGAAGCCCTAATTAGAGCAATGAAAAAAATCAATTAGAATGGAATAAGTAAGATTATCTCTGTTTGCAGGTGGCATGATTAGATAGGTGAGATTCCTAAACACTGTACAAAAATAAAACTAATAGAACTGACAAGTTCAGCCAAGTGTTAAGACATGAAAGAAGTACACGAAATAATCAGAAATCAAATGTTCCTCAACTCAGTGACAAGAACAATCCAAGTAGAAAGTCTAAACAGTTAAGTCCACCTGCAGTTCCGCAAGAAAGAATAAAACACTTAGAGGTGAACTAATGAAGTAAAGGAGACAGTAGAGACACCATGCTCCTGGGTTGGTAATGGTTTCTTATGTATGACACCAAGGCACAGACGTCAACTGAAGTAGACAAATTGGACTTCATGAAATTTTATGTATCTAAAGAAACTATTGACAGCAAAGGGGCAACCTACCAAACAAGAGAACATATTTAAAAATA